TCTGTGAGTAGAGAAGAGGCTGAAAAAAGAAGAAATGAGGGAGAGATAGCTGAGGCGAGCGACAATCGAGAGGAGAGCTACTTTTGTCGGCTGAATGAAGACAAAAACCAGGCCCGTGGCAACCACGTTTTGCAAAAAAGAGAAGAGACCCTTGACGTGTTGTATGTGTATGCATATATGTACTATATATTGTATAGCTGATTAAGGCCGAAATGTTACATCATTGAGCGTTAATTAGAATCTCTTAACTTCAACTTGCTGGGTCAAACCAGTATATTTTATGTGTGTTGTTGTCAATCAGGTTTATACATCGTACGGAGCATAAAATGAGCAAAAGACAGAATTTGGCAGAGTTGACTTTCCCGCACGTGCGTTGACTTTTCCGCACGTGCGTTGACTTTTCCGCACGTGCGTTGACTTTTCCGCACGTGCGTTGACTTTCCCGCACGTGCGTGTTGACTTTTTCTGGGAAAAGTCAAACCGACGTTTTAAACCTGTTTGGACGAGATTGGAAGCATAAAAGACAAGAAAAAGGCTGGATTAGGGTTCTGAAATTATTTGGACCTAAAGAGGGAGGCGTAGGGTTTGCAAAAGAGGAAGAAACAAAAAGCTCAAGGATGTCTCCCAGTGTGATTCCTTCTCCTTCTACTTCCTTCCACTCCTCCTTCTACTTCCTTCCACCGCTCCATGAGTGGCTAGTCTTCTTTTCTAGGGTTTGATGAAACCCTAGCCATGTAATTTATGTTAGTTTTCTTTTGTTGATTTTTTATTATGGTAAAGGTTTGAACCATTGTGGTGTTTTAGAATTCTTTATATATGATCTTCATTATCTTTTCAAAATATTTGACTTTCTGTGATTGTTGATATTAACATACATGAGTTTTTTCTATCTTCACATTCAAGGTATGGGACGAACCATGCTACGAGAACGAGTCGTTATCTACGCCTAGCTTAGAGTGAACGATTCGTATTGCTTGAGATGGTTCGTGCTCGTACATTGAATGTGATAATCTTCTTGTTAAATGCTTTGAGCTTGTAGTTGTGAAGGCATTAATTCGGTTCTCAAACCATCAGCATAATTAATTTCTATATTGGAAAGTCACTCAATTAGGCCTCACTCTTTCATTTTCTTATTCACCATTCTCTTCTATCTCTTCTACACCACTCTCGTCTGTTTCTTCTACCTCATCGAGAGACAAAGAAACTGAACGAAGGAGGCCAAACCTCAGTCTGTTCGCTTCTATTTCTCTGCAATTCATTTCTTTGACACCTCTCACCTCTAATCCATGGCTTCCTCATCCCATCCCTTCACTCTGTTTCCAGACCTGAACGTTCCTATAAGCTTTGATGGACCGAGTGCCCCGGCTCCTACTCTTCACAGCCTTCCTATGATGTCGATTGAGCAAATAATGGCAGCTTAATCAGACATTGAAGCCAATCATTTCACACTGACGTCCTGTATAGAGACGATGACTGCAGTCACAAAATTGGCTCACCGATTGCAGAACAGGACGAGTGAGCTCTATCAGGTCAACGCCCAACTCGCTCTACTCCAGCTCATGTACAAGGATGCGCAAGCAGAAATAGGCACACTGAAGGCCGAAAATAAAGAGCTTAAACGGAAGACCACCTCCATGGCCCGATTTGGAGCAACGTCGTTCTTGGTCTTTGATAGTCAGCGGGGAGTCGTCGCTCTCAACGAAAGCACGGGGGCAGGGGCGTCAAGGGTCGCCCAAGGTGATAAAAAGAAGAAGAAAATGATGGAAGAGGTGAGGAAGTAAGATCGGCGTATGGCCGGAAAAAAATGAAGGGTTTTTTTTTATGTTTATTTTGATCGGCGTATGGCCGTAAAAAAAAATGAAGTGTGCTTTTTTTTTTTATGTAAATATTTGTATTTTGGTTTGTCTTTGTTTTTATGTTTAAGTACTGAAAAATGAAATTAAAAGTAGAGAAAAAAATAAGAAAATTAAGCCCAAACAAAAAATAATAATGTCAGACCAAATTGTTAATGAGTATATGAGAAGCATTTGAGCATGATCTAATTCTCAATTTCTTAGCAAGAGCATACCAATTTCAAGACTATAATAGACATAATAGTGCATAGATCAAACAAAGTTGTCAAGCAAGAGCATAAATATGGAGCTAAAGTTCAAGTCACTATTCCTTGAGGAAAATGATCTTCCTCTACATTATCAACAACTAATCAGCTCAAAGGTCATGTTGTAAGAATTAAGATACCAAAAGCATAGAGATACCAAAATAATCAGAGATACTAAAACAATCAAGTCTCTTTTTCTCCCCCGATGACAATTTCAACAAAATCAAGCACAAGGAGGGAGTATGTACAACATATAGGATGAAAGAATGTAAGGCTCATTATAGCACAAATAATCATCCATATCAAGGTAGCTCTATGATACCAAAAAAAAATGATAGCACATAATGATCATACAATTGAAGCTCATACCATTTGACAATAATGGGCAAAAAAATAGTAACATGTGAAAATGCAAGCCCATAAGTTTGATATCAAAAATAGAATAGAAACTGAGGGGATTTTAAAAAATAATCAAATTTAAATTCTTCCTTTTGTTTCATTTGGCAAAATCAATAGGAGATATGATAAATAAAAGCTCATAACTGAAATGTTCTCCTCAATAATATCAAATAAGATGCCAAAATGATATCAACATGCAATCTACCAAGGATACTAATATCCAATCTAGAAGATTTAAGGGTAAATTACATTTACCTCCCCTGAGGTTTCTGACAAATACAGGGACCTCCCCTGTGGTTTAAATAATTACAGTAACACCCCCTACTTTACCTGACAATGTCAAGATTCCCCCATTCCGTCTATTTTGCCCAAACAACGTTAGTATCCAATAGAAAATGACCATGTGACCCCCTTGCTTTTGCTTACAAAAAGACCAAAAAGCCCTTTGTTCACAAAATCCCTAATCAATACATTCACAATACAAATCGAATTGTTCAGAGAAAGAAAAGAGAGAGGGAGGCGATCGTCGTGAACCGATCGTCGATTGTGAAGAAGACGAAAAAGCTTGAGGTTTTGAACCGATCGTCGTTGCCAGTACACAATGTAAAAGAGTTTCATCGGTGAGAAGTTGCTGTTACGGCTTCCAGGTAAGATTTCGAACTCTGTAAGCTTCGAATAGTGTTTTAAAATGTGTGTTGATGATTTTCGAATATTTTTTTCCATCTTTTTTCTTACAAATTTGTTTGTATTCTGTGTTTGATTTGATGAAATGTATGTGAAAATGGTTTTCTTCGAAAATATATATTTAGAGTTTATATTTTATTTGCAAAATTTCTGACTGGAATTTGTTGAATATTACTATAATAATAGTGTGATGTAGGGATTTAATATAAATTTTTGATTTTTTTTATTTTATTTATGAGATGTATGTTTAGGGCTTTTATTTGATTTGCAATGTTCAGGGCTTTTATTTGATTTGCAAAATTTCTGATTCGAAAAGAAGAATAGTGTAATGTAGGGATTTAATATAAATTTCTGATTTATTTTATTTTATTTATGAGATGTATGTTTAGGGCTTTTATTTGATTTGCAATGTTCAGGGCTTTTATTTGATTTGCAAAATTTCTGATTCGAAAAGAAGGAATTTGTTGAAAATTTATGAATTTATGATTTTCTGGGTGTTATTCAGGAGATGTATGTTTAGAATGAATTTCTGATTTGTTGGGTTTTACTTATGATTGTTTAATATTAGTATAATTATAGTGTAATTTACGGATTTCTTCATGTTTGCATATTTTCTTCAGTTAATTGTTGAGTACTGAGTTAATTTTTACGTCATTTTTCTTCTTTTTCTTGTCAATTTGTCATTGTATGGGCTTGCTTATTTTATTTTATAATTGGTACATCATTATGATTACAGTATGGCTGCATTTCCTTATTTTGATTTAATCATCAACTACAAAGGAAAAGTGGGAAGAGTGTTTGATGTGGACCCAAATATGTATTGCTACATTGATGCCTTGAAGGATGTAACTGCAACAGTCCTGTCTCACATTTCTTGTAGTGAAGCAGCAATCACATTGCATTGTGATATGCCTGGTACTGATAGAAAGAGATTAGTAGAAAATGATCTTGATGTGCTAGACATGTTTTATGTGCAAGGAATGAGTAAAACAATTAACTTGTATGTAAACATAGAATATTCTATTGGAATGAGTGATGGTGGACATAAAAGTAATGTTGGAAATGAAAATCATGGAGTAGATGTTGTAGATGTAGAGCAAGACTACCATACTGTAGATGTAGATGAAGAGTACCATCAGGACAATGTTTATGGGTTTAGTGATGAGGATAGGGATTAGAATGCAACTGCTGAGGATGAAAACCAATCAGATGCCAATGAGATTTTGAGTGATGATGATAATGAGTGCTCAAGTGATGATGCTGAACTTAGTGATTACCAATCTGGTGATGATGAAGTGCCATATTCTACTACTGATGATGATTATGATGATGAAGCAGACTGTCTAGATGATGAAGAGATGAGGTTTCCAGGCATGAAGTATGATGGTACCTACAATGGGAAAGAGCCATATATGAATCAAGATGGAGAACTTGTGTTGGAAGAAAGGATGATTTTTCCAGAAGTGAATACTTTCAGGGCTACATTAAGGGACTATACAGTGCAAACTGGTTTCAAGATAGTAAGAGACAAAAATGAGAAGTCTAGAGTAACAGCCCATTGTGCTGCTGAGGGCTGCCCTTGGAGAATTCATGCATCTCCACTTCCAGATGGGATCACCTACAAGATTAAAACCTTAGTACCTACTCACACATGTAGCAGGATGAACACAAACACTGAAGCTACATCAGCTTGGATTGCTAAAAAAATGGTTGAAAGTTTTAAGGACAATCCACACATGGGCTTAGTTACCATACAAATGAAACTGACTAAAATGTTTGGGATTGAGGCTTCAAGAATGCAGCTGTATAGAGCCAAAAGGAGGTGCAAGGAGGAGCTGGAGGGTGATCATGGGAGCCAATATGTGTTGTTGCCAACATATGCTAGTCAAATCAACAAAACAAACCCTGGCAGCTTGGTTGTCATAAATTATGACATACCCTCTATCCCAGTCTCAGAAGATGGAGAACAACCAGACCCTACCATTCCTCAATATCCATTGTTCCAAAGAATTTTCATATCATTTGATGCAATGAAAGCAGGGTTCATTAATGAATGTAGGCCATTCATAGGGGTAGATGGTTGTCACTTGAAGGGTCCCTATGGTGGTGTTTTAATTTCAGCAGTTGCCTTGGATGGAAATAATGGCTTGTTTCCATTGGCATTGGCAATAGTAGAGGATGAATGCAAGGACAGTTGGTCTTTTTTCTTGCACAACTTGAGAACAATCATAGAAGATGCACTACCTTCTAGACCATGGACCATCATGTCTGATCAACAAAAGGTACTTTACTGACATATTCAACAACTACTTTACTTACATAATTACAAATGATTCTCTAATTTTAAACTTATAATGCTTAGTAATGTTTCATTGTTTTTATATGCAGGGCCTTGATGCCTGCTAAATGTGTGACATAGGTCACACAACATCATGTTAGTTATGAACTTACTTATGAAGTTACAATGAAATTAGCTAAGCTGTTGATATTTGTTTGTTTGTGACACAGGTCAGACAACATCAATTTATTTGTTTGTTTGTTTGTTTGACTTTTTTTGCAGATGACTTAGCTAAGCTATTGATATTTTGGGTACAAGGATTAACATAGGTTGAAGGTATAAAATATATGTTGCTTGACTGTATAGTTAGTGAGGATCAGGTTCCACTTTTTTATATTTTTGTAGTGGACATGCAATGCTAAGAATAGCAATATGATGATGTGGCCATTTTTGTTTTTTTGTAGTGGCCATGAAGTATTTTATAACTGATGATGTAACTGAACATATCTGATAGGAATGATGTAAGTAAACTACTTGAACATATTTTACAACAATCATGATGTAATTAAACAGGTGCATATTTATGGAATGGTTTTACTTGCTGTTTAGATTATGTTTACAGGTCATTATGTTATTCAAATGAGATATGCATATTTACATAATGCTGAAATAACTTCATCATATTTATATATGGTCCATTACAAAACATATTGCATTACAAACATAAGGTCTATTACCAAATATTACAAAACCTTACATAAAGGCCATTACAAAAGGGCCATTACAAAACATTAGGTGAATCATTACCATTACATTTTTAGAGCAACCATTAGGGAAATCAAACACATCACAAAATTCATGATCATTAGCATCTTTATAAACCCCATGTTTGCTTCAAGTACTTGCATCCTTGTTTGCATAGCCCCCATTTGGTTCATTAAATTCGTTGCAGGACTTTCTTCTTCATAGGATAAAGTGTGTTTGTTAACAGTTGTTTGAGTGTCTTCCATCATCATTTCTCCTCCAACAGATGAGTTTACTGGTTTGCACCACTCCCAGAATCCGCATTTCCCATTTGGGCATAAATAATACAATTTGCCTCTGTTTTTTTCAGATTCAGTGACTTTAATTGTTGCTTTGCTCCCACAATAATAGATCTTGCTTCTATATTTCATCACCCCTCCTCCATTACTTGATGATGATATATCCATCCAGTGAACCTACATTCATGAAATGTGAGAGTTATAATGCATTTTCAGGACATATATTGATGGACATACCTGTATTTGTGTTTCATTTCTCAATAATGGATCATAGTTATAATGCATTTTCAGGACATATATTCATGGGACATACTTGTGTTTGTGCTTCATTTCTCAATAATGGATCATAGTTATAATGCATTTTCAGATGCAATTTTTTTTTTTAAATAGTTAATGTGACTGGGAACATGTGTTGTGCTTGTGCTTTATTTCTCAATAATGGATCATAGTTATAATGCATTTTCAGGACATATATCAGATGCAAATTTTTTTTTTTTTTTAAATAGTTAATGTGACTGGGAACATGTGTTGTGCTTGTGCTTTATTTCTCAATAATGGATCATAGTTATAATGCATTTTCATATGCAATTTTTTTTTTTAAATAGTTAATGTGACTGGGAACATACCTGTGTTGTGCTTGGCCCTTTCTTCTTTTTGTTGTTCTTTAGTTTTGGTTGCCTCTCTAAATTTTTCTCTTCCACTTGGATTTACTGAAGTGAAGCTGGAGACTCTAGCATTTGCTATATATAGACGGGTTGAGGGTATTATGGGCATTTTATTGTTTACATTTGATGACATAGGCAGGGTCTGTTAGGGGTTTAAACGGCTGTCAACTTTTGGGGGAATCTTGACATTGTCAGGTAAAGTAGGGAGTGTTACTGTAATTATTCAAACCACAGGGGAGGTCCCTGTATTTGTCAGAAACCTCAGGGGAGGTAAATGTAATTTACCCAAGATTTAACAATCATAGCTCAAGCATTATGTAGAATACCAAATATTGCTCATAATAGGTTAAACTCAATATAATCTCATGGAGCTATTGTAATTCCAAAAAAAAATGAAGCATGTTCAATGTATAGCAATCCATATGCCAAGAAAAATCATGAATTTCAATATGTACCACACATTTAAGCATATGCATGATTTTTAGATAAGAGCATCATCAAAGAGTATACATTGCAAATCATATGAAGCATAATCAATCTTTTTCATATCAAAGTAATAACAGTATTAGCTCAAGGGATATAAGATAGAATTTTTACCTCAAAAGCTTAAGAGAGTGTATGAGGCATACCTTAGGTTCAAGAGATGGAAGCTTTTCAATCTTCAATATTCTTTCATGAGGAGTTCATTTCAAAAGGGTTTAACAAGTATGTTAGCAAAATGATTTCTCCTCCTAAGTTGGTGCTACCCTTTTCTAATGTGATTTGTGTAAATATAACATTCATAGAACAATCACTATTACTCAATAAAAATACAGCACAAATCACTTCTTATCACAAACTCAAAAAGTGAAAAATAATTCAATGATCAAACAAGAGTTTAGAATGCTATTTTTCGGAATTTTTATGTTGTACCACATAGCATAATATGCATAAGAAAATAGTGTTATGCTGTTTGTTTTATTAAAAAATGATGCAACAATCTCATTTAATCACATAACATTATCAAGAGGCATTTTCATCAATTCAATCCACATACTGAAGTGTGATAAAACATTTTACTCAATGTGGAACACAACATGAATGCTATAAACAATTAATTCAACAATTTATCAATCAAAAGCATTTCATGAGATGTATGTGAATATAATCCATATTCAAAAGATATTCAATAGGATAGATGCAATGTCTCTACAAACGTATGATACTTCTTTTCATTTAGACATTGTTAATGGATCATTATCAAGGAATTTCATAACTCATTCAAATATTCCAATGTAAAGTATATAAGCATGAAATTTTCATATTGAGCATATTCTTGAGATCGCAAATGTACAATTCAAAATATAGATAATATACATCTTAAAAACATGCTTTGACATCAAAATTGATTCTACAGAGATATGACTCAAAAGAGAATTAACATATTAGTATGAAGTCATATATAAGATGTGAAAAGTATGCTAAAAAAAATTTATCACTTCTTATCTCTTTGTCATAGCAATGGATGACATGATATAAAATGTTAATGAATATATGAATCATTCATATTCTAATAGACATTCATCAAAATAATATAATTCACATTTTTGAATTCAATGAATGTTTGAAAGAAACTAGCAGAACATGACTTAGCAAACTTAGTACAATTAGATTACATGGAAGCAATGATTAGACACAACCTATTGTACACAAATCACACCTTAAAGAATATAAAACTTTAAGCTTAAAGGTGTGTTAGGATTCATTTACCTCTTTGGAATCTTCACCCATACATTACCTCTATTGTTTATCTTGGTGATTTTCATTTCATCATTCTTCTTCTTGTAGGAGCTGATTTTGCTCTTTAGATTGAACTCTCTTGTTGTGCATTTCCTCTCTAAGTCCTTGGTGTTCTTTGAGATTCTACCTACAAAATATCTTGATTTCTTTCTTGGTACCCATACTTTCTTGGGTCCATAGGGATTAGTCTAAAAAATATTTAATCTCATAAAAGATTTAGGAGGATCAAAACCAATATCTACTTTGTCAAAAACACATCTTTTATTTCCAAGAAGCTTGTTGAGGTTTTCTTTTCTTTTTACAAAATTTTCAAGAGTTTTGTTTAAATCCTCAACATTGTTTTTCAAAATGTTTTTCTCATTGGCAATAGACGTAAAGTCATTTTTCAAAGTAGCATTTTTTATTTTTAAAACACCCACATTATTTGAAAGAGAAGTAACTAATTTCTTTAATTTATAATTCTTAACACAAACATTTCTAAATATTTCATGTAATTCATTGAAAGTACTTTCAAGTTCTACATAATTAGAGATTACCTCATCTTGAGTGGATTCTTCTTCTCCAAGAGCCATGAGACACAGGTTGGCTACTCCATCATTTTCTCCTCAAATGGCTTCCTTTTTGCTGCCATCCATCATTGAAAGTTCATGAGCCATGAGTGAGCCTAGGAGTTCTTCAATGCCTAATTTTGTTAGGTCTTTTGCTTCTTGGATAGCTGTAACCTTAGCTTCCCATTCATTTGGCAAAGACCTAAGTATTTTTCTTACAAGCTCACCATTAGTATAAGATTTACCAAGAGATTTTAGAGCATTAATAATATTGGTAAATTTATAAAACATCTTAGAAATAGATTCAAATGATTCCATAGTAAAAAGTTCATAATCATGAATAAGCATGTCAATCTGAGACTCTTTTATTTGGCTAGTTCCTTCATAGGTGATTTCAAGTTTATCCCAAATCTCTTTAGCAGTTGTGATAACCCTGTTCCATATTATGCTAATTGTGATTATGTGTTTGATATGTTTTGGTGTGCTATCTATATATATATATATATATGTGTGGCTTTGAATTTCTATCTGTACACCGTAGGAAGATCTGTTAGACTTTCTGCTTTGGAAATTAAATTGAAGGCCTTATCGGCCACAGAACCCGAAATTGATTACGCCATTGTGATTAGCGTAATTTTTAAAGCCTACGGTGAAATTTAATTGAAAAGTGATTCGGACCAGATTAATTGGATTAAAATAATGACTTAGTGCTCAAATATGTAATGTTGATAATTGCAATTAAGGAAACTCATATAAGTGGAGCATTATACACCCAATCCCTCTCTTTTTGTTCATTTGGCTTAAATCAACTCAAAGAAAAGAGAGAGCGGGTCGACTAGAGATAGAGAGAGGGAAACAATTGGAGTTTTGAGTTGGACCATGATTTTGGGTTATTGGCTTCATGTTGTTTACATCCATGTGCTATATAATGTAATTGCATGTTTTGGATCGAAATCTTGAGCTTTAGAACCTTTGAATGTCAATTTGAGCTCAAGAACAAGTTCTGGAAAACCCAGAATTCTTGACGTCCGCTCGAGCGTAAAATATGAGCTCCCAGCATATTTTGCAGACATGATGTCCGCTCGAGCGGGGA